TTTTTTTTTTTTCTCCTTCCTTGCCTCCACGAGAATGTAAGCTCCATGAGTGCAGAAATTTTTGGAAGATTTATTCACTGTTGTGTTCCCAGCACCAAGAATTGTGCCTATATTGTAGTACCTAGGACACAGTATGCACTTGTGGATCAGTCCAAACCCGAAGGAAAGCTCTGTGACTAGAGGACAGCCTCCATCTTTTCCATCCTCTAAGGCAGTGATGAACCTTTTGGAGACCGAGTGCCCAAACTGCAACCCAAAACCCACTTATTTATTGTAAAGTTCTAACACTGCAATTAAACCTGAATACTGAGGTTTTGGTTTAGAAAAAACAACTCATACATTAATGTCTTTTGTCTTAAAAGCATAACAGACCTTTCAATGATACAAACAGCTTTTTATTGAAAGGTAAAAGTTTGCATTTGGTGTGCTTTTGCACAATTAATGTGATCTTTGCTGTTGTATTCATGCTGATAATTTGTCAAACCTCGGCTTACACAGTACTTCCTTAGTTTGAGAGCAGCACTTGAAGTAATCAGGTCACCTGTTGTGACACCTGGTGCTTCTACTCCTTTGCAAGTGTCAGAATGGCCCCTGTGTGCGCTGTTATCCAATGCTTGGCACAGAGGTGATGCTGAGGCGACTTGGCTCACCTCCCAACAGAGAGACCTCTACCTGCCCACTAGTTTCACCACCACTGTTCTAAGGGAATACAGTGTCTTTACTGGTGTGCAGATCAGGAAATTCAACCTCAGGCAACTTTTCTCACACATCCTCTATAATTCCCTTTATTATTCTAACTCTGGCTCCAAGTAGATCAGGAGAAAATATAAAATATATAATAATACGTAATACACATATTTTGAAGTAATGACTTAAAAAAGTATGATCCCATTGGCCTAATCATGGGTTTCCCCATGAAAACTTTCTGGCTTACTCTAATTCAATGTGACTTGTTCTCAAAGTTCTTAGGGCCACATTTAACCTCCTGATTTTCACTTACAAGCTGCCTAATATTGCCATTGAGCATACTTTTATCACTACTACAATTTCCTTCCCCAGGGTTATATCAGAATCACCTATAAAGCTGTTTCAAACATTGTATCAGTCCTCAGAAGACAATTAGCAGTGTCTGGAGACATTTTTAGACTGGTAACAAATAATATGTAGAGGCCAGAGGACAGCCCTCCACAACACTTATCTGCTCCAAAATGGCAATAAAACTGAGGTTGAGCAACTCTGCTTTATATGTACTGCCATACCACTTTAGTAGGGAAGACAGAGTTTCATAGCAGAGAGGCACAGCAGTAATGAAGTAAATTTGCTCAGATGTGTTTGGACTTAAAAGATCACATCACTGTGTACTATGTTGTGATATTTTTGAGGGGTATATATGTTATACATCTTTGTTCTTCCTCCGTATACCCTACACACATTTGTACACATGAACTGTATAGCCACACACTGAATTTGACATATCAGTCATGTGATTAAATGAATTAATATTCCTGCTGCCAAACACAAACCAACAAATGTTTTCCTGAGATAATTTTTCTCATTACAACCTCATGATATTGGAAGTATCTTCTAGGGTTTCCCTACTGAAATACTACAGACTGAAGTAACTATTTCAACTCAATAATAAAAAAAGATAACCCAGTTTTTTAAACGGAAAAGGGCAGTAACCTCCAGGCTGTAGACAATTTTGAATTTCTAGACAACAGTCTACTGTGCACTTACGATGTATCATGGAATCTGAAGCAGCACTTCCTGCCTGATTTCTCTAGTCAGCTAGGCCCTTCAGATAGAGCCAGAAAAAGATGAGAGCACTGAGGTCAGCAAAGCAGCTCAGCCGCAGCAGCTCAGCCACCAACAGCAATCCCTCCCAACCCCGCACACACTTAGTTGGCACACTGTCTGCTACTTGTAAGCAGCCAGGTCTGATGGCCTAGATCAGGGATGGCAAGGCAAACCTTAGAGACTGAGTGCCAAACTGCAACCCAAAACTCACTTATTTATTGCAAAGTGTCAACACTACAATTAAACCTGAATAGTGAGGTTTTACTTTATAAAAAACAACTCACACATTAACGTCTTTTCCACCACTGGCCTAGATAGCAACCACTGTAGCAGAAATGGCTATCAGTCTCTATTGTTGGGCATATACTGGGTCATGCAATCTCTGGGGTCTTCAATGGGGGAAGTACTGCTGAGCCTCTTAAACCTAACATCACTTACCGTGAGCCCCAGTGAACCTAGGAGTGATAGCAATAGAAGTTTGGTGGCCCTTGCTTTTATAAGATAAAACAGTTTTTGGAGTGTTCCCAGATCCAGGGTGACATTGAGCTCTGAGAGTTTCAATGAGGTGCTGAAACAGGGCAGACTCACAAGTGGGTTAGTGTAATCAAGGTCAGTTAAAGAACTGGAAAATCAGCTCTGATGACCAAGTTATTTTGGGATAAAAATGTAACTGGTAGTGAAACTAAGTTAAAATGGACTTATATTAATAGCTTCCTTGCTTCTGAGGGGCACTGGAAAACTTTGACCCTAACCGTTCCAACTATATAGAAGTTCACTGAGATGGTATAGAATTGGGAGCTGGGCAAATGTTTGTATGGCCTTAAACCAGCTGTTGTGATGTTACTGTTTGTGAATTAATTACAATAAACTGATTTTCTTTCAAAAAATAAAATGACAAAGGACTTCAGTAGATATTCCTCAACAGAGCAGCAAATAAGCACATGAAAGAATATTCAACATCATTAGTCATTATGGACTAATCAAAACCAAAATAAGTATAATCAAAAAAGACAGACAATGACAGATGTGAATGAGGATGTGGAGAAATTGGAACTCTCATACATTGCTTGTGGGAATGTAAAATGGTGCAGCCACTGTGGAAAAGAGTGGCAGCTCCTCAAAAATTTACAAACTTGTACTTTAAAGGCATTATCAAGGAAGTGAAAAGACAACTCAACATGGGAAACCATCTGCCAATCATATTTCTGTTAAGGGACTAATTTTCAGAATATTTGAAGAATGCTCCCAGCTTAATATAAGAGCACTCTGGTGTTTTTAGCAGAAAAGTAAAAATAGTTACCATGTGACCCAGAAATTCTACTGCTAGATGTATACCCAAAAGAATTGAAAACATATATTCACATTAAAACATGTATACAGATGTTCATAATAGCATTATTCATATTGCCAAAATGTTAAATATAACCCATTTGCCAGTCAGCTGGTGACTGACGTGTAGGTAAACAAAATGTGGTAAGTAGATACAATGCAATGTTATTCAGCGATAAAAAGGAATGAAATACAGATCTGTGGTACAACATGGGTAAATCTTCAAAACCTTATGTGAAGTGAAAGAAGCCCATTTATCCAGAATAGACAAATTCATGGATTTATAAAATTCATGATTTCCAGCAGTTGGTTGAAAGTGGGGATGGTGAATGATTGCTCATAGGGATGGGGTTTCTTTTTGGCATGATGAAAATATTCTGGAACCAGATAGTGGTGATGCTTGAACAATCTGGGTAATATAATGAAATCTACTGAATTGTTTAAGCCAATAACATTGTATGGTATGTGAATTATATTGCAATTTTAAAAAATATTTCCTAAATTCATTATTCTTGCTCCTAGAAATATAAAGCTTTATTTTCCTTTTCCTTCATTTCTCAAATCCTATCGTTCAGCAATCTTTCTTGGTTATACTTACAAATTATATTTAATCTTCTTTTTAAATTTTCCATTCCCTGGGTAGTCTGGACTTTCATTCTTTGCCTATAATACCACAACAGCTACTGCACTGATGCTTATGCTTCCAGTCATGAGTCATCCCATCCCTACACCTCATACTAACTTATTCTCAAAAAGTAGCCAGAGAGATTTCTTCAAGAGTTAAGTTTACTGTGGCATTCCCCTACTCAAATCCCTTCAGTAAAATCTACTAAATGACCTGAAACTTCTGTATCTGGCACATACCTGCCTGTTATCTTCTACTTACCTTTGCTGACCTCATGTTACAGTTGCCCTTTCTCTGCTTAAAGTAGCCAGTCTTTTCTGCCCTTGGGATTTTGCACAGCTTACTCCAGGGCTGGGAACACCCTTCCCTGTGTTTCTAGCATGGCTGATTCCATTCTTTCTTAAATGTCACCCTTTCAGTAGACACCCTGTGGCTATTCTAACTGAAGAATCGAGCCTGATTCTGTATATTCTCCATCTCAGCACTATGTATTTTCTTAATAGCACTTGTCATAGTTGGTGTGTTGTTTGGTTTTACTGCTTGTTTTTTCTTTTATCTTTAAATCTCTTTTCCTCACTGGACTTTAAAACGGGCCATACTAGTGTAGATCATAACTGTTTCCCTAGTGTCTAATGCTGCACCTGTTATGTCATAGCATTCAACCTATATCAGTGATGGCAAACCTTTTAGAGATTGATGCCAAACTTCAACTAAAAACCCACTTATCTCAAAGTGCTAACACTGCAATTAAACCTGAATACATACTGAGGTTTTAGTTTAGAAAACATAACTAATATATTAAAATCTTTTGTCTTAAAAGAAAACTACAATAGGGCTGGGGATTTAGCTCAGTGGTGCCACGTCTGCCTTGCAAGCACAAGGTCCTGAGTTCAATCCCGGGTACCAAAAAAAACCCCCCTAAAAACACAATAATACATGGCATAAGTTTACCACCATTGCCATAGGTGATAAATAACTGATGAATAAATGAGATTTTTTTTTTCTAAATAACCCCTGGACACATGTTTCTTTCTGAAGTTAGCATTTTAAGATAGAAATTCCTTCTTCCACAAAGTGTATTTTTTACAAATTCATTTGGCCCAAAAATTAGCCCCAAGAAACTCCACTATTGATGTTTCATCTCCCTGAAAAGAATTCCACATTTATCTTGCACCACTTTGATTATTGATGATAATATTTTTATTCTTTATGCAGAATGATGGCTGTTTTAGTACTTCAGGTGGAATTCATCCCTTTCAACTTCAAAACTGGAAACAGAAAGTTAGTCGAACAAAGAAAGCAGAATTCATACGCACAGCAGAGAAATTTAAAAATCAGTAAGTGTAAATTTTATAATGGACAATTTAAAATTAATTCAATTCCACTCCACCCAATTCCACATTGTTAGAAAGTTCTAGTCATCAGCCTGTATGTAACAAGATATAACAGAAGAAATGTGGGAGGTCTGAAATTGGACAAATGATAATAGGCTGTTTAATATAGTTAATTTTAAGTAAAGTAGTTTCAATTTTATCCATTTTACCACTTTTAATCAGTGTATTTCAGTGCTCGCTTCGGCAGCACATATACTAAAATCAGTGTATTTCAAGGAAAACAAAACAGCTATTCCTTTAAGATATTTTATATAAAATGAAAGATTGAGTACATTTTTATTTTACAGCCATAGGTTTGTATTCAGATATTTTGAGTAAAAAGTCTTGAGGGTTTAAAATATATATGTATGAAAGTGTTTTATAAATGACATATATTTACATTGCTATTCTGCATATTTTACAAATGAGGATGTTAAGGATTATAGAGACTAAATATCTTCTCATGAGTTACGTGATCAGGAAATGTTTAATTTTATAGGCTGGCTCCCGCCACTCTGAAGGCCATAGTTGTCCTTCTAACCAGTGATTTCCTTCAGTAAAGCCTGCTTGAGTATGCGGATGTGACCTCACTAAGGAAGGTAGTAACTAGCTTTGGTGAAAAGGCTTGTTTTTGAGGTTTGTTTTTCTTTAATGATCTTTTAACTGGTCTTCCTCCTAGGGTCTGTGCTCCTCTCAGATCCAATCTGTACATTATGCTGACATTAACTGAGAAGTTTACATTTAATTAAAATTGTAGTGTATAGTGTAGTGTTCTATAAGCGGTGATATTTATTGACTGTTCATTGTTGTCAGCAGCATCATGATGATAAATATCATGGGAAATGATAATAGTTAGAATTCAGAGTACCCTCTCTGTACCCTCCCTACAGTTGAGACCTTTATAAAAATACTACTTTGAATTTATTCACTGTAAGTTTAACAGAGAATTTGAGCAAAGGAGGCCATTGTGAGGAATGGTTTCTTGAGGTGAATTAATGGCAGTTCTCTGTAGAAGTTCTGCCTATGAAAAAGTGTCTGTTTGAACTCTGAAAAGCTTTGCCATGTTATAGCTTTTGGAGACTGAATTCTCACTGCATGTATACAATGCTTGTATCTTCTCTCCAGCTTTATTGAAATATAATTGACAAATAAAAATTCTGTATATTTAGAACATACAAAGTAATATTTTGATGTATGTGTATGAAAAGATTGCCACCATTAAGCTAATTAACATGTCCATCACCTCACATAGTTACCATGTGTGTGCATGTGCATGGGTAATGTGAATAAACTTCTGCCCTCAACCAAGCATTTTCATTATACTAAGTGAAGTAAGGCAAATGCAGAAAGACAATGACTGCATAATCATCACTTACATGTGAAATCTAAAGAAGTTAAGACTTACAAAAGTCATAATTTAATCAGAATATTGATTAGCAGGAAGGGTTAAAAGTGAGAAAAATGGCGAAATGTTGGTAAAGGGGACAAGTTATGAGGTAGTTAAGTTTTGGAGACATAAAGTACAGCATGGTGACTAGAGTTAATAATAGTATATTTTATGGCCGGGGATTTAGCTCAGTGGGACTGTGCCTGGCTCACAAGCACAAGGTCCTGAGTTCGATCTCCGTACCAAAATAATAGTAATAATAATAATAGTATATTTTATACCTGAAATTTGGTGATGTTTATCTCTTTAATATCCAGACTTTGAGAATATACTATTTAATTTTTTTTTATTTCCAAAATGCATTACTGTAGATAGAATTGGATTCTAGGTTAGGGGTTCTCTGTAGATGGCATAATATCCCCTAAATTGGTGAGGTCCATATATAGAGCAACTCATTGTGTTTGTTTTATAGTACTGATTAGGCTTTAGAAAAACTCACTGAAAGAGTGTTCCTATAAATTCTCATTAAATACTGAGGATAAAATACAGTTTGCAAGATCATTCTGTTTTATTTTGAGAATAGATAATACATTCATATTACTAAAATATCTAAGCATATCAAAGGGTACACAAGAGAAGGTATCAGTTTCATCCCTGATTTCAGCCACATAGTTTCTTTTCCATCGAATAACCAACACTATTAGTTTCTTTAGTATTCTTCCACAGATATTTTGTGTTTATAAGGACATCAAAAGTGTATCTTCAGATTTTTCCTTTTTTTATATGTGTTAATGAATTGTTGATTTTGTCAGGTATTATAATGGCATTGTAGTTGTGTAAGTTAAATATCCATAATCTCTAGAGATGCACATGGAAATGTTTTGGAGAAAAATTACATGGGGTAGATAATTTACTTTAAAACATTAAAGTAAAGCAAAAAAAGAGGGAAATGGTGGGTAAAAGGAAAAGTAAAATTGTTGAATCAGATATGAGAGAGACATAATATGCAAATATATGAGGGAGATTTATTTACTTTTCTTGATTTTTGGGCATGTCTGCCATTAAAATACAAAAATTTTATTATAAAAAGAATGTTATCTTGGAGACCTTTCTGATCAGTATACAGAACATAGTACCAGTGCATCATATTCCATTATAAGAGTGTAATATGATTTATTTAACCTTTTCTATAGTGATGGGACATTTAGATTGTATTCAGTCTTTTGTTTTAACAAACATTGCTGCCGTTAATTTCAGTGTCCACATAAGTCCCCATTATTTTCCACATGTGTGAATGTAGCTTCAGGATAAATTGCTAGAAGAAAATGGTGGTCAAAGGTATATGAATTGGCAAAGGTGATCAATATTGCTGAAATGCCCTTTATAGATAATTCACAATTCTACCAACAATGTATGAGAGCACTCCTTTTCTCACAGTTTCAACAGAATATATTATGAATATGTTATATATAATTCTATTTAAATTTGTGATTTTTTTTGTTTGTTTTTGTCAACTTGAAAGGTGTATGATGTATAGTTTGAATTTGCATTTCTCCTGTTAGAGTGAGATGACATTTGGCAATTTTTCTCCATTAGTATGTTTTGAATGTCAATAAAGGTTAATATTCCTAGTCCAGGAATAGCAACATATAAATTACTGTTATAGTATATTCTGTGCCATGGCAAACATTTCTATTTGATTTTAATAATATTCCCACTACCACCCAGAGCCTAGATGGGCTTTCCAGTCCTTACACAGAGTTTCAGTGGCCACCTTTGATCTGCTACAGTTGACATACAGAGTGAAATCTACTATTTCTGTTCTGTCTCTTGCCACCCCTCAAACCACACAAGCTTGAGCTAAGATATAAACCCCTCAACCTGAGGGGCCTGGAACACTCTCATCTATTTCCTTCAGTATGCCTAATAAGTATTAAATTTTTCTCTGTGCAGCAAGGTGAAAAAGAATAGGTAATTATCTTAGATAGTTGACCTCAGGTGGTGTGAAGTTAAGTCAGTGGCCAGAGACGTTCCACCACTCATTAAATCAGGGAGAAGTATTCATATCAATTTCTGCCTTGTGAGAAAAATAAAACAATAGTTGAGAACATTAATTTTTTTGGCCAAACAAAAAAAAATTCTTAGTATATTTTTTTGTTTTGTTTTATGGAAGGATCAAACTAACAGAACTCCTGGTAAATGATCTGAATCCAAGAAGCAACTATAAGATAAAAGAAGCTTTGAATTAAATAATACTGTTAGTAACTTGCATTTCCCTAATAGAAATATACATGTTGTACAAAGGTCTCTCACATAAATTATCTCCTTTGATGTTACTTATGCCCTGCCAGGTAATGGAAAGCTGTTATTATCCATGTTAGTAATGAAGAGGGAGGTTAACATCTTTGCTAAGGTTACAAAGTAAAGAGTATATTCTACTGAAAGCAGGCATCAGCAGTGGCAGCCCTTTTTAGACCCTTCAAAGACTGAATTGGAATCCATACCCAAAGGCATGTTTGTAGTTTCAAAAGAAGGAAGTTACTACATTTTCTTAAATTAACATTTTATAACTTAATAGTTAAGATTGCATTTGATTGTAGGTGAGCTTATCTCTTTCCTTTTATTTTGACTAATATTTTTGTCCATAGCCTCTTTAAGCAATTATATTCTTTCTCTTTAAGTGAAGTAATATGAATATAAAGTACTGATTCTTATGAGTGCCTTCATATTTTAAATAACTAAAAATATATTTAAATCATATTTATACCATTTGTTTCTTTTCCTAAAGAGTTATTATTATAGAGAAAGATAAACACAGTCATTTCTACAACCAAAAAAATGACTTCAGAATTGAGCACAGTATGCTGGAAGAATTGGAAAATAAATTGATTAACAGCAGAAAAATGGAAAGTAAGTTGAGTTGATGAACAAAAAACTGTTGAGTGATAAAAACTTGTAGTTTTGCCCTGTCTTTGTCTTTGTGCATTGACTGTGTTATATTCTCCATCAAGATATTTTAGTTGGTAATAAATTTGTCTTGTTGGGACAAGTGTTTATTCTTTCAGGTCACTGTTTAGTCATTGTAGCTGGATTGCTTTCTATTTGTTCCAATTTAATATGAAAGACAGGGTTTGAGGTTCTTTGACTGACAAATCAGAAAATTCTATTAAAATTTTTTAATAGAAAAGCAAACTGATTCTGAGCAATCTAATCAACTGGTCTCTGAAAGCTACCATTTCTACCTCAGCAGAGGTGCCCTGTGCATCTGATAGTGTATTAAATGCTAGCCCTTTAAGAATACTAGATTCTGTATGTTGCAAAATCCTTGTAAGAAAAAAACTAGTTAGCATTGCTTACAGGAAAAATAATGGTTATCCATTAACTAAACTTTATAACATGTTGACTTATATGTAGAGATTAGACTGCTCATGGTACTCTCTTACTGCCAATCAAAAGAAATTCCTAATTTTTTTCTTTCAGAATATAAATTACTCTATTTTTAAAAAGTAATCTCTTGTCACATAGTGACAAGCAACATTCTCCCTTTTCTGTTGGAATGATAACTGGGCCTAACATAAGTACTTGTCCAGTTTTCTCTTCTCTGATTTATAAAGTAGACCTCACTGATTTAACATTTGTTAATATCCCTCAGTTCTTTTGCAGACAACTGGGAGGCTGATTTTTCAAGAGAAGGACTGCATTATCCTTATATAAGGATATGGAAGCTTTCCTTTCCTTTCAGTTCAGAAGTAGTAAATACCTGTTCCTTACATGAAATGTATCTCAGTTTTAGCCTAAATTTATATCCTGTTATGCATCAGTGATTTGGTCATACCCTTCCCTTTTCACTTTTTTCAAAGAAGGGAAATTTCAATTCCAGATAAATAAATAAAATAAGACTCTTTTGCCCTGTATTAATATTGCTATAGCTTATGAAGCTATGGCAAAAATAAAACAACAAAAACACTTTCTAATTATTTAACTTTTCTAGACAAGTTTGTTGACCTAAGGTTCCAGCAGTGAGCTCATTTGGACATAGCTCCATGGTAGAGCTCTTGTCTTAACATGTATGAGGCCTTTGGATCGGATCGCTAAGCATCACTAAAAAAAATGACTTTAAGGACTATTTGTAAAAAGTTGCAAAATCAAAACAGATGAGGATGCATAAAATACCCAATGGTAATAAAATAATAGTACTATTATATGAGTATCTATGTATGAATGTGAATATTTAACATAACCCTACTGATTTAAATAAATATTAAAATTACTATGCCAGAAAAAAAATAAGAGAAGAATCTAGTCTTTTTTGCTATTGAGAAAAACAATCTGAAAATGTCTGAAACCCTTATCTGTTTTTCAGGCTTTTATTTTGGCCTTAACATTTTATTTCAGGTTGCCCCTTTAGTTGAGGAACTTTGCAACTTGTGGTAGAGATACCACTTAATGGCATCTGAGGTACCTCCTCAGGGCCATGTTGCTGACACCAATAGATATCATCTGCTTGTGTCTTAGAAGATTGTGTTTAAAAGTTAACGCTCAATGGGAAGTTTGTTAGTATTCATAGAATTAATACTGGTTAGACACTTTTGATATTCCCAGAATAGTTAAGATCAAATTTTATTCTCATAAATTATAACAAATAAAAAGAAATGCTTTTAAAGAACAAAACACACTAAAAATAAGCTAGTGATCATGCATTTAAAACCATACCCAATTAGTAACTAGTATCCACAGAGAAAAAAAAATTCCTGGCCATAAGTTTACAGAAAGATTTAATCCACTGCTCTCCAATCTTGAAGAAATGAAAGATGCTTTATTTAGAGTAAGGATGTTCAATTGTTTTTGACATAAATGACCACTTTTTCCTTTAATTGTTCTTGGCTTTCTTTTACTAAGTGATTATGATCAGTCTTACGTGCAGAATCTTAATTGTAACTACATTTGTCACAGAATTATTTTAAAGTGTGTACTGCTTCCTTATAGGAGCAAAAATTCAGCAACAATTAGCCAAAATACATAACAATGTAAAGAAACTTCAGCATCAGTTAAAAGATGTGAAGCCTACACCTGATTGTAAGTAAATTTAAATGTCAGAATCTTTCTTATGTATATTAGTATTTTCTATTGTTCATTAGAAGAATTTATACTTTCCTAGTATAAGACATGTCTGTTTTTCTACTTGGCATTAATGGAGCTCAACACTATTGGTTAGGGATTAATAAGGATATATTGGAGAACTGTAGTATCTGATGTTTATGTGGTATTTTTTTAACCTTTAAAGTACTATCAAATCCTTAAAAACTATAAGATAGACCCGGGCATTTAGCTCAGTGATACTGCCTCCTGCCTAGCAAGCTCCTGAGTTCGATCCCCAGTACCAAAAAAAACTATAAGGTAGACAGAACAGATATTAGTGCCATTTTTAAGATGGAGGCTCTAGTACAGGAAGATTCTGATTTAACTAAAGAGAAAAAAAGACTTGATTCATAGCTCAATGCTTTTCCCATCATTTGATTTTTGAAATAATAACTTTTCAGACATATTTCAATTATATGAAGAAAATTTCAATTGTACCTGTTGAGGCAAATGCTAATTTTTGGAGACAAACAAAACTGCATTCTTGCCTCCTTGCTTATACTAAATTTGTTCCTGGAAATTCAAAGGAATAAAGTATTCAAGATGTATAGACTTAGACAGATGTTGGATCAAATCCTTGATCTCTAACCTATTAGGTCATTTTAAGCAAATTACAGCAATGCCTTGATTCACAAACACTTCTGTTTGCAAACAGTTTGGTTCACAGATAAAAGCTTTCAGCAAAATTTTGCTTCTGTTCACAAACTCAGCATCAGGTGACAGACATGACCATAGCCATCTTCCCCACATAAACACAAATGCATCCATCTTCCCCAAAATGTAAAACAAATTAAATTTGTAAAATGAAGTACCACTGTACTTGATCTCTTGGAACTTTCACTTTAAAATAGAGATCGTAAGACTTATTTAATAGGTGTGTTGGGGAGATAAAATGGAACAATACACTAAAGCATTTGTGTAGTGGTTATAACATAGGAAGCACTAAAAATGATAAATGTGCCTATTACACTCATTAAATTAAATGAAACCATAAAAATACTAGACGAGAACATGGGTTAATATTTTTATATTAGTGCTATGTTTTACAGGATGGATAAGATCAGAATACATGAAGAAAAAGTGAACATATTTGACTACTTAAAAGACTTGAACCCATAAGCAAAGTTGAAAGACAAATTAGAAAAGTATTAACTATATTTATATATATAATCAACCAATATAAATGACCTAATAGAAAAAGGAAGAAAACTGTAAGGTGCCCAGTGTAACAAAAGAAATACAAAACACGAAAAATCCTCAGGCTTAACAATCACAGAAATATCAACTCAACGATGATAGATTTTTGCACCTCATTTTGGAAATGGTTAAAAATACATAGAAAAGGTCACTCTGGGGAAACCAGAGGTAGAGTCTTTAAAATGCAATATCTAGCATATGGTAAAATGGGCATACATTTTTATTTAACATTTCACCAGTTATTCTCTAAAAATATTCATTTTAGCATGCTAAAATATATATGAAGGATTTTTACTATAGCATTTTGCATATTTTAAGGTTCATCATATTAAATGAATTAGGATAGGTTTAAACAATGAAATAACATGTAGCTATAGAAAAAAGAAATGCTGTATATTTATTTACATTTAACCACATCTTAAAAACTGCAATTCAAACAGTATGTTTAGTACAAAATAATTTTTGTAAAAAATATTATTTAATGATAATGGATACATAAGAAAAAAATCTGTAATCAGAAAAAAATTGCAATTATAAAAATTTACATTTAGCTCTGATGGTGGTGCTTGCCTGATATCCCAGTACTCTAGGAGACTGAGGCAAGAGGATGAAAGTTTGAGCCCAGCTTGGGCATATTGGCAATTTAACAAGATCTGTCTCAAAATAAAAAAAGAGCACAGGGGGTGTAGCTCAGCACCAAGGTCTTGAATTCAATCCCTAGTACACAAAGAAAAAGTTTAATGGTTATCTTAATTTCTAAGACTAAAAAATATTTTTAAATTAGAGGAATATTCCATGTATTTTTCTTAATTTTGAACATATCCATACTGACATATGACATAAATAATTTGTGTGTGTGTGTTTTACAGTTGTTGAAAAGCTCAGAGAAATGATGGAAGAAATTGAAAATGCAATCAACACTTTTAAAGAAGAACAAAGACTGATGTATGTTTTAAACTCACTTTATAAAATTATTTTATTTTGCAATAACTCACCACTAGATTGTTTTATACAAGCATATTATTATGTATTTGAGTCTTACATAAAAGCAGTAGAACACCTATTTTTGTCTTAGGGTTTATATGGCTTTTTATGTTGAAAGTAAATTTTCATTTGTATTTAGACATTATAAAATCCCAAATAAGAATTTTAAAGACTGTTTTGATCTTGGAGTGAACTTCTTAAGGCTTCAATTTATAAATGTTAGTAATGTCAACTGAAGACAACAGAGTAAAGAATCAGGAATAATTAAATTTGAGAGAAAATGAAGGGTTAGTATGGATTGGCTGCTATCTTCTTAAACTTTTTTTTTTAATTTTAGATACGATGAGCTTATTAAAGAAGAAAAAGCAACAAATAATGAATTGAGTGCCATATCAAGAAAAATTGACACATGGGCTGTGGGTAATTCAGAAACAGAGAAAGCTTTCAGAGCAATCTCAAGTAAAGTTTCTGTAGACAAAATGACACCAAATACTCTTCCAGCAGCAGTGGTAGATTTTGAAAAATTCCTGCAGCAAACAGGAGGGCGACAGGGGGGCTGGGATAATTATGACCACCAGAACTTTATAAAAGTGAGAAATAAACATAAAGGGAAGCCTGCATTTATGAAAGAAGTTCTAGAACACCTCCCAGGAAGAACACAGGATGAAGTTCAACAGCATGAGAAATGGTTTCAGAAATTTCTGACTCTAGAAGAAAGACAAAAAGAGGTAATTATAATAGCTATTACTCCTATGTTTTTGTTCTAGGCACTGTGATAATCTCTCAGAACCACTGATTTTGCAACAACCCCATGAAATATGTGTATAGTTATTTTTCTCCCATCTTACAGAAGATGAAACTAAGGCATTGAGAAGTTAAATAATCTTACCCAATAAGTGAAACTATAGTTGGACTTTCTTGCGGCCAGACATTTCTCCCTCAAGAAATTACACAATGGGCTATAAAACTGTGGGGAAAACCTTCTGTGTACACTTTCCAGAACTGTGGCTAATTCAGATCTACTCAGACTTTAGGAAAAACTAGAAGCCTCATTATTTTGATTAGAAAATCAAGAGGCAGTAGAGAAAACACTTTGACTATTACATTTCTTTGAATGGGCTGTAAGTCAGAGGTAGAACACTTGCCTAGCAAGCATATGGCCCTGGGTTCCCATCACCTGCACCACCACCAGAAAAACACAAGAAAAAGTTTCTCAGAGATTTGTAAGCTCAGCTTTATTGCTTAAAGATACAAACCTTTGGCTACCACAGAGAAGACATAATCCTTGTAGCAAATACCTCCAAAGTTTCATTTTCACAAAAATACAGTGAGGCTTTTATTGGGTTAGGGCTTCTCAACCTTGGCACTGTGGACATTTTGGACTGGATAATTCTATGTTTTGGTGGAGTGTTCTATACATTATAGAGTGGTTAATTGCACCACTGGCCTATAGCCACTGGATGCTTGTAATACTCCCTATGATTATCAAAATGTCCCCAGATATTGCCAGAGTCTGAGTCTTCTTTACAATAGACTTATCTGTCCAACAGATGACATAACTAGAGCATTAAAAAAAAATACTGATTCCATGTTTAAAGTTTTAGAAAAAGTAGCCTTTTGTTATTGTTGTTCTTGCTGTACTTTGTTTTCCTTCCTCTGAAATAAGTTGATTGTGGGAAGATTGATTTTGGGAGTTTTAAGAAATATTCTTGAAATATAAGTCATTTTTAAAGGCTCAAAGTAATAAGCTGTTAAAAATTGAGTTTTTCTTCTAGGATACAAAAACATGGGTTTCTTAAAGTGGCCCCCTAAACCAATAAAATCTGTCACTTGGGAACTTGTTAGAAGCTACCAGGCTCCAAACCCCTAGACCTAATCAGAACTTGGGGGCCCCTTTACCAAGTCGTCTGGGTTATTTGCCCCAAGCTTACATTTGAGAACTCCTCTCTAGAAAAGGGGATAGGTATTGCTTCTCGTAATATAGTAAAACACACCAATTCCAGATTACTGTATTCCTGACCACTCTTATTTCCTGATACTTGACAACTGATTGGATATAGGACTGAGGTGGAAGGGGGTATGGAAAAGGAGGTACCAGTTTACTGAAGTGGAACACACTAGAAATAAGAGAGGGAAGTTGAGGGAAAATAGCAGGAATTCAGGTATAAATCTACTGAGTATAAGATGTTGAATTGGAAATTTACCATGTCTGTCTTTCATTTCCCTTACAATTTCCTCTATTTTGTGTAAATGAAGATACTTACTGTTTTTAGATATGCTCTGAACTTCCCAAATGCCTTTGACTATCTTGTTCTCACTTTCTATACCACTTTCTTCCAAGCTCCCAGCTTGTTAAAAATCTTCCCAGATGAGATTCTTCCTTCTTCTTGCCCACCCAAACATTAGTCGCCCTTGGCCTTTCACTAACGCTTTGTTTATAGCTTTTTTAATGATGTGGTATGGAGTGCCTATGTCATTATCTTACTTAGAATCTGTGCTGCTCAAACACAGTCTGTGGGGTGGATGTTGTAGACTGTTACTGGCCTTACAATGAGATGAGGTAATTGCACAATAACTACCCAATAAGCATACGTTTAGTTCAGTTGACTTTTTTCATAGAAAATTTGACACGTAATCCTGGTTTTTAGGGATGAATGTTTTGAGTAGCCCTGTACTAGATGGCATTTGACATTATTTAATTACTTGTGGATTCTATCACATTGCCTTGCATATATACGGATTTACTGAATGAATGAATGAATGAATGATATTCCATAAGGAAAGAGGAGGAAAGTTTTTTTCATTGGGGGAAAGGCAATACATCCTCTGTATAGAGAAGGATACTCAAATTTTAAATAATCTTTACCTATTCTTATATACAGTTCCTGAGGTATTTTAAATACACTTGTAAAGAAGTACTTTATGCCAGGCACTGATTCATTTAATCTTCCTGTGCAAGAAGTTCTACCTCCACTTTACAGATAAGCAAAGTGAGGACAGAATAGGTTAGTGACTCATGAATGGTCAAACTTAGTAAATGGGAAAGCCAGGGTTTGGTCCCAAATAGTCTGGCTTCAGGAATCATGCTCTTAACTACTCCATTTTTAATTCCTTTTCTGATATTTGACCAGGGAAAGATCACTCAGAAAGTATTCCAAGCCTAGAAAGAGAATACATATGCTAAAGTGAGATGACTAGAGGAAAGGAATGTTGCCCAGGAAAACAAAGCAAGTAAAGAAGAGAAGAATACTTCGTAAGAACAGAAGTAGAAAAAAAATTGTTTCGGTTCAGAACAAAACTTAACCTAATCATATTGTATGCTCTAATCAATTTTCCTTCTAGAAAAATGAAATTGAAGTTTGAGTTATTTAAAAACTTTCTTTTGCCATCTTTTTTAAAAAAAATCATTTAGTCTATTCAGAATTGGAAAACTAAAAAGCAGCAAAAGAAGCAAGAAATTTTCAAGTTAAAAGAGAAGGCAGACAATATTCCTGTGCTTTTTCATAATAAACCAGAAGGTAATCAAAAGCAAAAAGAAGAAGAAAGAAAGAAACAGAAGTTGGCAGTTGAAGCTTGGAAAAAACAGAAAAGTACAGAACTGTCAATGAAATATGCTTCTAAGTTAAAAGAAGAGGAAGAGAAAAAGAAAAAGCAACAAAAAGAAGGCCAACGCCAGCTTAAACTAAAATTACTATTAGAAAGTTACACCCAGCAGAAGAAAGAACAAGAAGAATTTTTGAGGCTTGAAAAAGAGATAAGAGAAAAGGCAGAAAAGGCAGAAAAAAGGAAAACTGTTGCTGATGAAATTTCCAGGTTTCAAGAAAGAGTGAGTAAATATATATTCTAAATTTTAAATGCTACACAGGGAGGTATTTCCAGATTCAGGTCAGCAAAAGTAAATTGAAGGCATCTTATACATCAGACCTGTGCGTAATAGCATTACTGTACCAAAATGAGTAAGCCATGCTCCCTAACTTCTAGTCAGTTATAATCTAGTGAGAAAGATACATGCAAGTAGGAGATTTCAGAATAAAGTGGTAAAGAGTATGTTGCTTGAGGTATGGATCAAGTACTTTAGGAGATGGATATACAGAGAGAGATGCTTAACATAGCTATAAATTAGAAGGTAATGAGTTGAATTTTGAAGGGGAGAAAAGGGAAGGAGAAGAGAGCTCTTTCCTAATGGAGGCAACAGCATAAATAACTGCTTGGAGGAGTGTAACAGCATGGTTTGTGGGGGAAACTATAAACTTTTAAATGTTCTTAGAGTACCAAGGAAGAGATGGGAACCATCAGGAGACAAGAAGGGTAGCCACAGGCTAGGCCAAATGTCTTATCTTCTCTGCTGAATGTCATACCTGACAGAGTGGCTCATTTTAGACAGTTCATGAATGCTCAGTTGTTGTTTATCTCCTCTCTGTAAAGGAAGTTCCATGAAGGCAGAGGTTTTGTGTTTTTTGTTTATTCCTGTCAGGTGCAATGTAGATACTTAATGTATACTGGGTGGAAGGATGATAGGCCATTTAAACAAATGCATACAAGAAAAATGTTAATAAAGACAAAATGGAACTGAATCCAAAAAGTATTAAACAAGGCAAGGAAGGATATTTTAAAATGCAAAAGGATGCAAGTAAGATATAACTGTTATGAATTGTTATAATAAGAGAGGTGTAAAGAAAAGTAGACAAAATGCACCAATAGTGGAAATTTTAGTTCATTTCTTCTATTCCATATAAGAAAATATTCCAGAACAACAAAAGATTCCATGCCATCTCACCACACAAAAAGAAGCAGGCTACGTAATAAAAGACTTAGAAAAAAGAAAACCAATAAAACAAAAACAAAAAATAACTTGAGAGATCTAAAGCTATACCTATCTGTATTGATAACTGAAAATGGGCTTAACTCACCTATTAAAAGGAGTTTTAGATTAAACTTTAAAGTGAAACATGTAATACCTAAAAAATAGTGATATCTGAAAGGATATACATGTGTTGTATTTAGAGAAAATAAAGGTCTTAGCCTTTTTTAGAAGGCTTTGGTTATTTGCAAACAACTTGGCCTTTAGTTATTTGCAAACAACTAAACATTGAAACAAATTCTGGTTGCTTTTATTTTCTTAATGTAATCTTTTTTGGTTTTTTTTAGGATTTATATAAACTTGAATTGAAAATTCTAGATAGGCAAGCAAAAGAAGAGGAAAAGGCAGAAAAACAAAGAAGATTGGCAAAATTAAAGGAAAAGGTATTCTGTACTGAGATTAATTTTTGTCTTTTAAATTTATTTTTTAACTGATACAAAGAAACATAAAACTTGTACATATTAATGGGACACTATGTGATATTTCAATACATATACACAGTAATGTTTAAATCACATTAAGCATATCTACTCAAATGCTTATCATTTCTTTATTACAAAACTTTAAAAATTCTTATACCTTTTTGCAATATACAGAACATAATTTATTTATAATTACTGTAACTACTGTGCAACAGCCACTAGAACTTCTTACTCCTATCTATAACTTAGTACCTGTCTTAGTCACTTCCCTCGTTGTTGGAACACTCGCAATGTAAAGGAGAAAAGGTTTTTTTGGCTCACAGTATGTAGAGGTTTCATCCCATGGTCTATTGGCTCCAAAGCAGGACAGCATGGCAGAGGTACATAGTGAAGAGCTGCTCAAGGCATGGCTTAGGGGAAGCCTCACCTAGGCCACACCCCCTATCACCCACCTCTTCAGACCAGACCCCACCTCCTAACAGCAAGCCAGCTAGAAACCCCCATAATTTGATCACCTTTCAAAAGTCCTGCTCAAAAGCTCTGGGGGGGAACTATGGGGTATAAACCATAATAGTAACCATTGATCAGCCTTTCTTCACCTCCCTCCTAGTTATCGTAATTGATTTATAAGGATATTGACATCAAATGTATTCTCTTATATCTCTATATCTACTTTAAATTTCACATTTATTTATATGTTGGAAAGCATAACAGTACAATTAAAGTGACTATTGTTTGAATTCTACCCTTTTACATTGTAAGCAGCCTTTACTTTTACCCTGACTTCTCTCTCTCTCTCCCTATTCATCATTTCTTTCATTCTTTCTATATGAACCTTCGTTTTATACATATGGTAGCTGTGATCATTGTTTAATCTCACTGGTAATACTCAGAACTAAAAAAGTTGAGGACCATCATGGATTAAGCAGAGTATTTACGGTGGTTATATGTCCTAAATGTATTGTCTGGCTATGTCACCATTATACTTAGCTACATTAAATTTCTCTCATAGTAGAAATAGAAATAGAATAAAACAATAGAACTAGAAAAAAGAATTGTTTATTAATTAATGTAGTCCAAATTTTATTTTAGCTGTGTGAGTATAATTAGTTTACTGAACAGATTTACAATTTTATGACTGTTTACCTGATACAAGTATGCTTTTACAAATTGCTTTCTGTTACAGGTTGAAAATAATGTTAGTAGAGATCCTTCTAGGCTTTACAAATCTACCAAAGGTTGGGAAGAACGAACCAAAAGCATAGGACCGACAGGCTCTGGGCCACTTCTACATATCCCACACAGGTAAAAAGGAGTTAGAAGGGGTATTCACTTTACAGAAATTTAAGAGCTACATGTTTATATTCTGTGCAACTTGTATATTTTATAGTAACAGACTGATAAAGCAAATGTATATATTTTAACAGTTAATATTTAATCAGATTGGTTTGGGTCTTATAAAGAATTTTCCTACATATTTATAATTGCTTTTCTCTTTTTTTCCTTAGGGCTGTTCCAACCTGGAGACAAGGAATATAGAGGAAAATAGGAGATAATGGAAGTACTATTCATTTGATGAGAGTACTAGCATATTCAGTAATACCAGGAGAGTGTGACTAACCATATTCTTTAAATATCACTAGCCTAGTCAGATTTTTTATTATGCTGTATGTAAATTCAGAGGTACTGTAAGTTTTATTCTGCATCATTAATGGTTCCTGTTTCTACTAAAAGGGTGTTTAGGGAGGGTATATGTTGGCCTGTTACTGATATAAAAGTTATTTATATAAATTTATGTAACAAACATCCATTTAAATACCCAAAGCATTTCAAAGATACTTTGTTTTTGTCATTGCATAGCAAAACAAATCAAGGCAGTCATAGAGAAGCATTTTTTAAACCAAAATTTTGTAACTTTTGTAACTTGGAAGTAAGTTAGCTTGAATAATAAAAATGTCTTTTTTTTTTTTTTAAGAGTTATGAAATAGCTTAGTACTTTTTCTAAGTTCAACATATTGGTAGTTTGTCAGTTACTACTTTTTTGTGTAATAAATATTTTGTATTTGAAGCATGCTTGTTTCGTATAGAGAATATTTATTTTTTAAACATACCTCATATATCCTATTAATTTTATTATTGCTATCATCTTTTTGGTTTCCTTCAGCTATTCTAAATATCCTTTTAGCCCTTCTGCATCTCATGCATTTATGAAATCTGCCCCTTTTACATCTTGCTAGCTAATGCAGTTTTCCTTTGTGCTTCTATTTGCCTCAAAATAGAAAAAAATCTTTGTTCTGAACTATTATCTGAAATAAGCTAATTTTTAAAAACTGATTTTGATTCTTGGTAGCATTTAAAGTGTTTTAAAATTGGTAGACAAACATATTTGATCAAAAGAATCTTAAAAATTTCCAAACTTTTGTACATTAAAACACAATTTAGTTTAATTCAAAATTTTATTTTTATAAAAGTGTAGGTCCGAAGTTTAATTAGTTCTAATAGGAAGAATATTATACACATAAAAATACAGGAAATTTGTTTTAACTTTTATCTTAGAAGATCTTTAATTGTAATTTTATACATATAGGCTAACTTCACACAGAATTCACTGAGAATTCAGACTCAGAAATTCACTGAGTAATGGCCAAAATCTTTTCTAATTTAACAGTTAATAGTCAAAGTATGTAATTCCAGACTTTGCAAATTGAATACTAATTGTTTAATTATTGGTACAGAATGAGAAAGTTGACTCAGAGGATCTTTAATTGTAAATCTCATTTATTTGTTGTCTATATCTTTTTAAAATGATTTGAAGCAGTTCAGAAATAAAATGTAAAGGACAAGGGAATTTAACTATAGAACTGAACAGCTACGATTCAGAAAAGTAAATTTTTCTTGAATTGCTTTCTTATGTATTGCTTTTGTTGCATGTAAATTTAGCTTTCAGTTTCCTGCATCTAAGCTAAATGTTCTGGTTGTGAATCTCATGTCTTGAGGGGTTTATTTTTTGGTAGGAGATTGAACTCATGGTTTTAAGCATAATAAGCACGTAACTCCCTCACTGTACACACTCACAGCCCTATTTTCTTTTTTAATAAAGGCAAGTATGGAGTTTCCTCTTTAAAAAATCAATTTCTAACTGAATCTGAAACAAATGAGGGATTTATTGTGGGGGTCCCTTATGTAAAACATAAGATAAACAATTGAAAATGTTTTTAGTGGATTCATAGAAGAAATATCAAATAAATATTTCTTATACTGGTTTAAACAGTACATGAATAAGAAATTTAGAAAAACATGGTAAAGCATTTGTAATTCCAATATAACATTTTCCACAATATAACTACATATTTTAAAATGGTACAGAGTACATTA